TCAAATCAAGCTTCTACCAGAGAATTTTCTCAGGCGGATACTGACCAGGTGTTAATTCACCGCTGGGATCAGGTTTTAGTTTGCTGTTCGTAGACACTATGGCGAGTTAGTAAGATAAAAAAAAAAAAAGTCCAAAAAGGTCTGTCAGTCTTCCCTAGGCTCCTGTCTACTTGGTCGACCCCTTCATCCTAGTCAGAATTCACTTTTCTGAGCTTATGTTCTGTTGACCTGACACTGGCCTCATACAAATGACATTGAATTCGCCCAGTTAGTTACCTAACTGTCCTCTTGACCTATTCTGGTCTCACACGGGTGAACTTCTAATCGTCTAGTTAGAATCTCTTATCTAACACTTGTCCTTTTGGCCTAGCTCTGAGTCTCAACAGGATGAACTTTCTACTCACTCTTGTCGTTCTGGCGCTCTTCGTTCGGATCGCGTCTACGGCTCCCGATGAAGGATGATCTGCATCGACCCACCATGTGGAAAAGTGGTCTTCCTCTGGGTCTGGGACCCCTGCTGTGCACAGTCTTCAGTCAGCGGAGATCACCCTCCATCGAGTTTTTGCATAGCGAATCCGGCTTGAAAGGATCAATTTATGTCAAGGAAATTCTGCTCACAAGACAATTCTGTTATAAAAAACACTCAGAACAACCAAGAGTAGTTTATACTTGCACACAAGGAGAGTTGCTGGACTGCTTCCTGCTCTACTCTGCCCAACAACCCTCCGAGTCACTCTTTTATTTGAAAATCACTTCACAGATGAGCATATTTCATGACATCACAATACATATGGTTCACATGTTTTCTCATGACTAACAATCTTCAACTAAACCGCCCTCCCATTTCACTCTTGATCACATATCTCAATGACCGTCTCTTACGTCGGAGTTTCCCCAAGACTTTCAGTTTAACAGATGATGGAACAAACCCGGTGTTTGCTCCCCTGGTAGATTAGTTTAATCAATCAGTTGACATGTCATTCATATTAGCTGCTGTTTTCATGTCACATACATCTTGAACCAAAACAAACCACAAAGCAATGTTGATCATTTTTATATTACATCATGATTAATCTTTAACTGATTTACTCTTTAAATGAGTAACACTTTAATGAGACTTTAATGAGAAATACATAAATAGCATAAAATTCTCTAATGTTTCATTGGCCCACATGTCTGTATGGCGGCCATATTGATTTTTTGTTTAAATGGCCACCAAAAATCGCTTTTTGAAATATTTCAGCCTCTGAGTAAGTTAAAATGTTGATTTTAACAGCCTTTAGAACCCTGTGGCCCTCAGCTCACACAGACCTAAAACAGGTCTAAAACCAGGTCTAAATCCAGGTCTAAAACCAGGTCTAAAACCAGGTCTAAACTATGTCTCAAACAGGATTTAACAGGACTAAATCCTGCTGTGTGGACGTGTTTCTTCGTTTTCTATCAATAATATTTTTAATTTGGTTCAGTAAAGTCTGGGCTTTTTATTTTCTTTTATCACACAAAACATCTTATGTGAAGATTTCCTCATCTTTATTTCTCTACAGAAAATCAAGTAATCCAAAATATTCAGATTACATTACTCACTTTAAGTAATTTAATGGATTACTTTACAAACTACATTCTGGTGTATGTAATCTGTAATCTGTAATCTGTAGGGGATTACATTTTTAAAAGTCACCTTCACAACACTTTTAAAAAATAATTTTATTATTATGACAAAAATATAACAACAAGACAAAAACAACCAATGCATGTACAGTATAAAGTGCAGATTGGATTATTGTTGCATCAGGGCAAAGTCCAGTTCACAGTTAAGGCAGGAGTGAGGTATGGAAAATATACAAATACACTCATACACATAAACTCACATAAACACACATAAACACACATAAACTCACATAAACACACATAAACACACATAAACACACACATAAACACACATAAACTCACATAAACACACATAAACACACATAAACACACATAAACTCACATAAACTCACATAAACACACATAAACACACATAAACACACATAAACACACATAAACACACAAACACAAACTCACATAAACTCACACTACAACACACATAAAACACACATAAACACACATAAACACACATAAACACACAAAACACACACATAACACACATAAACACACATAAACACACATAAACACACATAAACTCACATAAACACACATAAACACACACATAAACTCACATAAACACACACAAACACACATAAACACACACAAACACACATAAACACACATAAACAAACACATAAACACACATAAACACACACATAAACACACATAAACTCACATAAATGTAGTTAATACGATTAACTGAGATTCAGGAGCAGGACCACACCTCAGCCGCCCTCTCCTCTCACCGGCGAACCACAACTCACCTCGACCACGCCTCTAATTTCCCAGAAGCCTATATGTAGCAGCCTTTCCCATCATCCCAGTTTGTCTCGGCGAACTCGACCCCACCCTCCCATCCCCTATTTTGTCTTTCAGTCATAAGACCCCTACAAGGGGGGTCCCGTTCCGGCTGGGCCAATTGTAGATTGAGACGGAGCCCCCACCCATAGTCTCAACCCAGCCATCTTTGCCTCGCTTTGTACATTATCAATAAACTACTTCGCACTATGTTGTCGTTGGCGTGGTCCTAGCTAGTGAAACATACATAAACACACATAAACACACATAAACACACACATAAACACACACATAAACACACATAAACACACACATAAAACACACACATACACACACACACACACACATAACACACACAACATAAACACACATAAACACACACACATAAACACACACACACACACATACACACACACACATAAACACACACACACATAAACACACATAAAACACACACACACATAAACACACACATAAACACACATAAACACACACATAAAACACACACACACAATAAACACACACATAAACACACACATAACACACACAACACACACATAAACACACACACACAACACACAAAACACACACATAAACACACACACACACATAAACACACATAAACACACATAAACACACACACACATAACACACACATAAACACACATAAACACACATAAACACACACATAAACACACATAAACACACACATAAACACACATAAACACACACATAAACACACACATAACACACACACACATAAACACACATAAACACACATAAACACACACATAAACACACACATAAACACACACATAAACACACACATAAACACACACATAAACACACATAAACACACATAAACACACACACACACATAAACACACATAAACACACAAACACATAAACACACACACAAACACACACATAAACACACACATAACACACATAAACACACACATAAACACACACAACACACACATAAACACACACATAAACACACATAAACAACACAACATAAACACACACATAAACACACACACACACATAACACACACATAAACACACATAAACACACATAAACACACACATAAACACACACATAAAACACACATAAACACACACATAAACACACATAACACACACACACATCACACATAAACACACACATAACACACACATAAACACACATAAACACATAAACAACACACATAAACACACACATAAACACACATAAAACACACATAAACACACACATAAACACACACATAAACACACATAAACACACACATAACACACACACAACACACACACATAAACACACATAAACACACACACACACATAAACACACACACATAAACACACACACATACAACACACACATAAAACACACACATAAACACACACACACAACACACACACATAACACATAAAACACACATAAACACACATAAAACACACATAACACACACATAACACACAACACATAAACACACATAAACACACATAAACACACACATCACAAAAACACACATAAACACACATAAACACACATAAACACACATAAAACACACATAAACACACACATAAACACACATAAACACACATAAACACACATAAACACACATAAACACACACATAAACACACACATAAACACACATAAACACACATAAACACACATAAACACACACATAAACACACACATAAACACACACATAAACACACACATAAACACACATAAACACACACATAAACACACATAAACACCACACATAAACACACACATAAACACACACATAAACACACACACAAACACACACATAAACACACACATAAACACACATAAACACACATAAACACACATAAACACACATAAACATACATAAACACACACATACACACACATAAACTCACATAAACATACATAAACACACACATACACACACATAAACTCACATAAACACACACATAAACACACATAAACTCACATAAACATACATAAACACACACATAAACACACATAAACTTACATACACACACATAAACACACATAAACACACATAAACACACATAAACACACATAAACATACATAAACACACATAAACACACAAACACATAAAACACACATACACACACATAACACACATAAACACACATAAACACACATAAACACACATAAACACACATAAACTCACATAAACACACATAAACACACATAAACACACATAAACACACACATAAACACACATAAACACACATAAACTCACATAAACACACATAAACTCACATAAACACACATAAACATGGTTTGCAAATTATCATACAGGGGAGCAGAGGGAATGAAACCAAAACTAAACAAAAAACAAAACAAAAAAACCCCAAACAAATTATGTCATAAATTAAATGAATCTATACTGTACTTTTTATAGATATTGTAAGTTTTAACTGCTTATTTATTTTGGACCTGTTTTGTCGTTTGAAAATATTGTTGGATTTCGTTTTTTTTTTTTTTTGAGAACCTTCCCAACACTGAGTGCGGGTTAAATCTAAACTCCACACATCCGGGTCCTTCGCTCGTGTAAACAGCGCCCCCCTCCGCTCGCTCTGCGCACTGCGCCTGCGCGCTGCTTTAGCTTCTGTCGCTTTTTTCCAACACAAACCGCGGTCATGGTGAGTACAGCCCCCAAAACACACCACTTCTGCCCCTTTTACCCCACACCGCGGCTTCTCCTGCCCCGCGGCGCCCGGGCACACGCACACCCGCGCACACGACTCTCAAAACCGCAAACTTTAACCGCAAAACCAACATTTCTGCGCCGAGTCTTTGTTTGGCTAATGCGGCTAACGCGGCTCGACGCTGGCCCAAAGTGTGAGCCGCTCCGTAAACTCTCCAGCACAAACACGAGGCACAAACACGACGCGACATGCGGCGCATAAACCTTGGAACAGCCGCATCATTTAGCGGATAAACAGAATCACCGCCGCAGTTTGTTGATTTTCACGATGTTAGCGGTGCCGAGCTAACAGGCTAAGCTAAAGTTGTCTTGTAGCAGCGGCTAACAGAGTCAAAGTGTGTTCGAGCTGAATATGAGAGCAGAGTCAGAGCGGGGAGCCGGGGGTGTGTGTCCGGGGTGTGTGTTGTTGTGTGTCCATGGTGGTGGTGTTGTGTGTCCGGGGTGTGTGTTGTCGTGTGTCTGTCGTGTGTCCGGGGTGTGTGGTGTGTGTGTCCGGGGTGTGTGTTGTGTGTCCGGTGTGTTGTGTGTCCGGGGTGTGTGTTGTGTGTCCATGGTGTGTGGTGTTGTGTGTCCGGGGTGTGTGTTGTCGTGTGTCTGTCGTGTGTCCGGTGTGTGGTGTGTGTTGTGTGTCCGGGGTGTGGTGTTGTGTGTCCGGTGTGTGTGTCCGGGTGTGTGTGTGGTGTCCGGGGTGTGTGTGTGTGTGTGTGTGTCGTGTGTGTGTGTGTCCGGGGTGTGTGTGTGTGTGTCGTGTGTCCGGGTGTGTGTGTGTGTGTGTGTGTCTGTGTGTGTCCGGTGGTTGTGTGTGTCCGGGGTGTGTGTTTGTGTGTCCGGTGGTGTGTGTGTGTCCGGGGTGTGTGTGTCGTGTGTCCGGGGTGTGTGTTGTCGTGTGTCCGGGGTGTGTGTTGTCGTGTGTGTGTGTGTGGGGTGTGTGTCGTGTGTCGTGTGTCTGTGTGTGTCGTGTGTGTGTGTTGTCGTGTGTCCGGGGGTGTGTCGTGTGTCCGTGGTGTGTTGTGTGTGTGTGTCGTGTGTGGTGGTGTGTGTGTCGTGTGTCCGGGGTGTGTGTCGTGTGTCCGGGGTGTGGTGTCGTGTGTCGGGGTGTGTGTCCGTCGTGTGTCCGGGTGTGTGTCGTGTGTCCGGGGTGTGGTGTGTCGTGTGTCCGGGTGTGTGTGGTGTCGTGTGTCCGGGGTGTGGTGTCGTGTGTCCCGGGGTGTGTGTCGTGTGTGTCCGGGGTGGTGGTGTCGTGTGTCCGGTGTGTCGTGTGTCGTGTGTCCGTGTGTCGTGTGTCCGGGGTGGTGGTGTCGTGTGTCCGGGGTGTGTGTCGTGTGTCCGGGGTTTGTGTTGTAGTTTGTGGTGGAGTCGCTAAACGAGGCTAAAGCTGCAGCTGTCGCAGTCTGTTTAAAACCTCTGCAGCGGCTCAGAGAGGAAGACAGAGACTCTAAACAAACACACAGAGACTCTAAACAAACACACAGAGACTCTAAACAAACACACAGAGACTCTAAACAAACACACAAACACACAGAGGCACTAAACAAACACACAGAGACTCTAAACAAACACACAGAGACTCTAAACAAACACACAGAGGCACTAAACAAACACACAGAGACTCTAAACAAACACACAGAGACTCTAAACAAACACACAGAGACTCTAAACAAACACACAAGACTCTAAACAAACACAGAGACTCTAAACAAACACACAGAGGCACTAAACGATCCGTGTGTCATTTGTTCATTCATTTTTCGATATGAAAAAAACAACAACAATTTTCTTCATTATTTGTCTCCAAAACCAAAATGAAAAAACAGATAAAGATTCGATTTTTCAGTTTTCGATTTTGTGTTTAAATGAAAAATGGAAAAAACAGATAACGGACTGAACCAGGACTAAACCGTTTTCAGTCCTGGTCTGGTCCCCAGTCTCAGTCCGGGTCTCAGTCCTGGTCTGGTCCCGGTCTGGTCCAGGTTTCAGTCCTGGTCTCAATCACGGTCTGGTCCTGGTCTGGTCTCAGTCCTGGTCCCGGTCTAAATCCTGGTCACAGTCCCAGTCTGGTTCTGGTTTTAGTCCTAGTAGACCATTTTCATGACTTAAACTGATATGCCAGACTGAACCAGGACTGAACCAGGACTGAACTGGTCTAAGTCCTGCTCTCAGTCCCGGTTTCAGTCCTGGTCCTGGCCTCGGACTCAGTCCTGGTCTGGTCCTGGTCTGGTTCAGTCCGGCATCACAGTTTAAGTCACTTGAACGGGAAATGGCCTTTAAGTTTTTTCCATTTTTCATTTAAACACAAAATTGTAAACTGAAAAAACTATTCAACATCCGTTTCCGTGACTTAAACTGAGATGCAGGACTGAACCAGGACTGGACCAGGACTGAACCAGGACTACAAGGCTCAAAACTGGGACTGTCCCGGGGAAACGGGGACGTCTGGTCACCTTAGAGATATTGTATCGTTTAAGGTTGATGATGTTTAATGATGATTCATTATCGATTAGGGATGGGCATGATTAGAAATAAGAATTTCATCGATTACGTTAATTTTAATCGACAAACCGAATGTAAGTTGCTGTGCGTAGCGTCACCAAACAGGTCCGTACATGTGTCTCTCTGCACTCAGAAGGAGCAAGCAAACACAAACGGTCGGTCAGGGTCAGGGTTATGACTTGTACAAGAAAATCCACACTTTCCATTGCATTCGGGACAAGTGTGAGGCCGTGTACACAGTGTATAAAGCAGGAACATATGGTTCGGTGTCCAGAGGGAAAAAGTTTTGCCAGGTGAGAGTCGCGCAATGTCGATGACGAGTGCCCACCTCCCTCCCCCCGTACGGTGTCCTGGTTTTGACAAACGCAAATATGGTCACACTAACCTGTATTCACCTGAGTCATGTCTTTTAATCTGACAGAAATTGACCGCATCAGCGACACAAGAGCTGTGGTTTTATCTTCGCTGAGTTTATGCAAATTAGTGATGTGGTTTTAAGTTTTGTTTCTGTGAGATTTGCGCAAAACTGAATTAAACACATTATAATGTCAAACGGATTAATGTGGCTCTAGAGTGGTTACGGTTTATATGTCATAAAGTTGAATTTATTTATGCAGATTAGTAGTGCAGCTAGTAATAATAATGATGATCATTTTAATATAAAAGCGTTAATGATTAATCGATAATCAATCGTTAATTCTTCCGATGATCGATTAAGAAAATTTCATCGAATGCCCATCCCTAGTATCGTTATCATGGGCTGTTGTATCGATATATCACCAAGAGTATTTTTTACTTTATTTTACTAAATGATTTAGTTCCAGTTCCAGTTTTGTTGTTTGTTCAGAGGAAGGAAACTCGTTTTTGCGACACATTTAAGATTTTCACAGTTTTGACGATTAAAATATTTGTGTTTCATTTGAACTTTGTACAAGAAGAAGTGATTTAACAAAGACGTTTAGTGTCACAGACATGATTTAGACTTAATTTTTTCTTTAAACATATCGAATCGTTTTGAAATATATCGTTTTTTTAAATAGTCGTTGTAGTATTGATTAGGATCTGATTACCGATACTTTTGTCAACCCTAAATGACAGATTACAGATTTCAGCTCATACGCTCCAAAAATAACTCTCAAAAAGATTCAACTATTTTAAAAGTTGTGTGTTTCAAGTGAAGGTGTGTGGAGTTTAAAAACACAGTGGAGCACTTCTTGTATTGTCACATGGCTTGACAAGGTGGAACAAAGTGTTTAAGAGAAGAATTGAGCCTAAATAATCTGCAGGGTTGAAACAAAACACAAGTCCAGCTCTGTTTTTGAGGAGGAAACCACATTAGGACATTAGACGTAAAGTTCACAGGAGTCAGTTTGTGTGATTTAAGACTTTTTTTTTTTTAAATAGTTTAATTTATCGAGTTGTTTTTGGAGCAGTTCTAGAAGCAGAAGCAGAACTTGTTCAGTGTCACTTCCCAAATGTTTCACCAGAAATTTCCCTTTGTGACTGTGGTGAAGTGGTGAATAAACAGATGTATGTGTAATACCAATGAACACAGAGAAAAAACTAGACCATTTAGGTTTTTCAAAAGTATCGGAAATCAGATTCTAATCGATACCACAACATGATTCTCGTTTTCTGCAGGAATCGATCCTAAAAAAGTCCCACTGACACGAAGGAGCAGAACGTTTCCTGAATGTGTTTAGAACGATCTGGAACTGGACCAGAACAAATATAAGACACAGAAACTAGAATACACACATGGACCTGGTTTGGACCTGGTTTAGACCTGGTTTAGACCATTTCCTTAAAACTGGATTAATCTTGGTTTAGTCCTGGTTTAGACCTGTTTTTAGACCTGGTTTGGACCTGGTTTAGTCCTTGTTTAATTCAGGTTTTAGCCCTGGTCTAGTCCTGTTTTAGACCTAGTTCAGTCCTGGTTTAGACCCAGTTTATGCCTGGTTTAGACCCAGTTTAGACCCGATTTAGACCTGATTTAGTCCTGGACCACTGAGGATTACACAGATATAAGGACACATGGAAACAGAAAAGAAAATTCTACCATTTAATGTTCAAATGAGACAATTTTTGCCTTTTATTTATACCAGGTCTAAACCAGGTCCATACCAGGTCCATGTGTGTATTCTAGTCTCTCTGTCTTCTGCTTGTTCTGATCCAGCTCCAGTTTGTTCTGAACACATTCAGAAAAGGTTTGTGACTTGAGAAAATTCCTCTGCTACTTTTAAATATGATTTAGTTTCTGTTTTTTGACGTTTCTGAAAAGGTTTAATCGTTTGTAATTCCAAACCAAATGTAAAGACGTGGATTTGAACGTGGACCAGAGCCTGGTCCCGTCCCGCTCTCTGGTAAAGCCTCTGACCCAGCGCCCCCTGCTGGTCTGTTTCAGGACGTGTTTCTAATGATCCGACGTCATAAGACGACCATCTTCACCGACGCCAAAGAATCCACCACCGTCTACGAACTCAAACGCATCGTGGAGGGAATCCTGAAGAGGGCGCCGGAGGACCAGAGGCTCTACAAGGTGAGACTGAAACAGGTCTGAAACAGGGATTTACCCTGGACTAAACCTGGCCGAACCAGGCCTGACACAGGGACTGAACCAGGGACTGAACCAGGGACTGAACCAGGGACTGAACCGGGGTCTGAACCGGGTCTGAACCGGGTCTGAACCGGGTCTGAACCGGGGACTAAACCAGGTCTGAAACAGGGACAAAACCTGTACTAAACCTGGACTAAACCAGGTCTGAACCAGGTCTGAAACAGGGACTAAACCAGGTCTGAAACAGGGACTAAACCACGATTGAAACAGGGACTAAACCACGATTGAAACAGGGACTAAACCTGGATTGAAACAGGGACTAAACCAGGTCTGAACCAGGTCTGAAACGGGGACTAAAGCAGGACTAAACCAGGTCTGAAACTGGGACTGAATTGACACTAAAACGTGAGCAAGTCTGAAACAGGAACCACAAACTGGATCTAAACCAGGATCAGAGCAAGAAGATCTGAACAGGTTATTTAAAAAAAAACAAATTGCTCTAACAACAAAACATTAGTGATGTGTTCAGAGTCTCGCTCCAGCGCAAACTGATAAAACGACTCAAGAAAAAGCAACGTTCTCTGCAGACGACGTTTGACCAGAGCGATTTAGACTTGATTTTGATTTGATTTTGTGCATCTCAAACCAGGATTATGACATTTAGGTAGAACTGAAGTTTATTTAAAATGTGCTTAAAGTGTATTTAAAGTTTATTGAAAGTGTTTCTGTTTCAGGACGATGTTTTGTTGAACGACTCTCAGACTTTGGGAAACTGCGGCTTCACAAACCAAACGGCTCGACCCCAGGCTCCTGCTACAGTCGGACTGGCCTTCAGGAGCGGAGGTGAGGGGGGAGGTGTATCTGTGGTGTGGAGGAAACAAGAATTTTAAACAAATAACAAAGTATTTACCGTATTTTTCGGACAAGAAGTCGCACCAGGCAAAAAATGAGTAATGAAAAAGAAAAGAATCGCTTTCCCTTCCAGAAACGTTACACAGTGTGGCTTTAAATCTCAGAGACGATCCTTTTTTTTGCAGCATACATTTGTTTAATTTTCTTTTTTTTTTTTAATCGAGAGAAAAAAGCTGAATAAATTTGAGTTCCGTTGCTTTTTACCGAAGCGCAGAAAACGTAAAAACACTGACGACCCTTCAAGAAAAACTACTGTATATTAATTTACGTGTGTTTTGTGTTTTTATGCGTTCGTTCGTAGCGTGAATGGGACTGCCTTTCCGCAGATCTGCCCGGTAACGCTTTAAGTTTAATGCCATAGCGCGAAATATTCCGGGCAAGGTGACAACATCTCCACGGCGACAAAAAGAAGGCGGGCGCGCTCTTCCCGAAACGTTGCACGGTGCAGCTTTAAATCCCAGAGACGATGCTTTTTTTTGTGGCGTACATTTGTTTTGTTTTTTTGTTTTAATCGAGAGAAAAAAGCCGAATAAATCTGAGTTCCGTTGCTTTTTACCAAAGCGCAGAAAACGTAAAAACACTGACGACCCTTCGAGAAATGTGAGAAAACGAAATGTAGGTAGCCATTTTGAAAGTTGCCATAACGTTGTACAGTATAATCAAATAAATAAAGAAGAACTTTGCTAAAAAAAACACGTAAGAAACTTGTCAAAACAAAACAAAAATCATCACAAATCAGGTTTAATATTTGGAATTCAACTCTTCATTTAACACTTTTTCGCCGTGCATGTCGTTATTGCACTTAAAGAGGGGGTATCATGCAACTTTTTTTAGATTTCTCCCGCGTTCTGACGCCGTTCCCTCGTCAAAAACCCGCCTCAAGAGGTTTTAGAGTCGTCCGTGCATCTCCAGGGCCCGAGCCGTACGAGGCTCCACCCACAAGCCTACGTCACCCATGCTCCCGCGCGAAAACTCAGAAGTTGCACCAGCCAAAAAATGCTTAATGAAAAAGAAAAAAAAAAAATCGCACTTTTGGAGGAAATGTATTTTAGAAAATCAGAGACCGGGAACCGACATTTCATCATGAAAGTGATGTTGTAGTAAAAACAGCAGAAGAGAAGAACAGACTGTTAATGTCACACATGAACAGTTCTTCAGATAAACTATAAACAACAGAACAAGTTTAACAAACTCTCCGTCTCACTCCAAATCACTAAATCACTTCAATTCTTCATCCTCGTGTCACTTCTGAACAACTCGACCTCCGGAGGGAAACGCGACGCAAACTCTTCTGCGTTGCTGTCGTCAGACTCAGTTCAGTTAGAATTATTTGTGTCTTTCTGAATCCCGACAGGATGGTTTCGGTGTCACTGAAGTCCAGACTTTGTCCATCCATCCAGTGACTTCAGGAAAGTTTCATGGTGCATCCTCCTGGTGTCACAAGTTTCTCTGTCGCTCCAAACTTTCTTTCTGCTGCTCCATTTCCGTTTTCAGCTGCAGATTTCACGACTCGCAGTTTGTAAATCTGCAGAATCTGATTTTGTTTTTGGGAGCGTTTGTGTTCAGTCTCTCAGTCTTTGTTTTTATAAGTTTAAAGTTTAAATGTTAAATAGTTGAGTGGTGCAGAAGTAATGGTGCGATCGACTGATATGATCCAGACAGAACAGAGGCTCTTTCTGCAGGAGACATGCACAGTACAGTGAAGTGACAGTGGTGCAGGAGGAACAGGAGCAGCAGATCCTCACACACGAGACTAGAACCTCTCACAGCTGTCAGTCTGAAAATGTTAATATATAAGTCGCAGGAAACACCCAAACCATGAAAAAAAGTGCGAGTTTTAGTCCGAAAACTATGGTAGAGGAGGTGAGGTCGCACAGAGCGGAGCAGCCAGAGGAGGCGCTGTGGAGCTCTCATTCTGTTGAGTCTTATTTTCAGCAGAGCTACAGGACTCAAGCCCAGTTTACGGTCCAGCGAGTTTGTGTCGACGTGAACCTCCTGCGTAGAGCGTCTGCGTTTGCGAAGTGTAAAATGTGGAGATTGTCGGATTGTTTGTAAAATGTGCTTTTTTTTGTTGTCGTGTGTTTTTCAGAGGATTCGTTTGAGCCGCTCAGAATCGAGTCGTTCTCCACCCCCCCAGAGCTGCCCGACGTCATGAAGCCCCAAGACTCCGGGAGCACCGCCAACGAGCAGGCCGTCCAGTGAGACCGGGATCCTAACCAGACTACAGAGACCCCACAGAGACCCACAAGGACCCCGAGACCCCCCCAGAGACCCACAGAGATCCTCTACAGAGACCGACGACAAGACCAGAGACCAGACCCTCCAACGAGCAGGCCGTGCAGTGAGACCGGGATCCTAACCAGACTACAGAGACCCCACAGAGACCGAGGACAAGACCAGAGACCAGACCCTACTACACCCAGCCAACGAGCAGGCCATGCAGCGACACCGGGATCGTAACCAGACTACAGACCCTAGACCTAGACCCAGACCTGGACCCACACTTAGACCTAGACCTAGACCTGGACCTAGACTAAACCAGAGTCATGCAGCGGGGGAAATGTACGCGGCAAATTTAAAGAAAAATCCAAAATTTCTGTGACACGAATCCAGAAAAACGACCTCGATTTGACCCGACTGTTTGTGATTTTTCAAACGCCCACAGATCAGGAGGTTGCCGGTTCAATTCCAGCTCCTGTTGTTGTGTCTTTAAGCACGACTCTTCACCTTTAGAAAGAACTACACTGGGTTAATGTGTTATTAAAAAAATAAATAAAATAAAATAAAATAAATAAATCACAAATTGTCCAAACTTTTCAGATCAGGTTTAATCTTCTGGGTTCAGGCCACATTAAAGAAACACTACGTAACTTTTCTGGTTGCGGGTCCGTCCCCTCTGCTTGTCACCATGGAAACTAATGCTCCGCGGTGTGGCATTAAACTTATAAAACTCTACTGTATTTATTCATTTACGTGTATTTTGTGTTTTTATGCGTTCGTTTGTAGCGTGAATGGGGCCGCCTTTCCGCAGATCTGCCCGGTAACGCTTTAAGTTTAATGCCATAACGCGAAATATTCCGGACAAGGCGATAACATCTCCACGGCGACAAAAAGAAGGCAGGCGCGCTCTTCCCGAAACGTTACACGGTGCGGCTTTAAATCTCGAAGATTTAAAGAGATTTTTTTTTTTTTTTTTTTTTTTTTTTGCAGCGTACGTTTGTTTTGTTTTTTTGTTTTAATCGAGAGAAAAAAGCCGAATAAATCTGAGTTCCGTTGCTTTTTACTGAAGCGCAGAAAACGTAAAAACACTGACGACCCTTCAAGAAATGTGAGAAAACGAAATGTAGGTAGCCATTTTGAAAGTTGCCATAACGTTGTACAGTATAATCAAATAAAGAACTTTGCTAAAAAAAAACGTAAGAAACTTTTCAAAACAAAACAGAAATCATCACAAATCAGGTTTAATATTTGGAATTCAACTCTTCATTTAACACTTTTTCGCCGTGCATGTCGTTATTGCACTTAAAGAGGGGGTATCATGCAACTTTTTTTAGATTTCTCCCGCGTTCTGACGCCGTTCCCTCGTCAAAAACCCGCCTCAAGAGGTTTTAGAGTCGTCCGTGTATTTCCAGGGCCCGAGCCGTACGAGGCTCCGCCCACAAGCCTACGTCACCCATGCTCCCGCGCGAAAACTCTCCTTAAAAATACAAACATGATATATTTAATTTAATTTAAAAGTGAAAAAAAATGTATAGCGCCCTTCAACAGACAATGTCCAAAAGCTTTTTAAAAAATTTTAAATTGTGTTTCGGCAAAAAAGCCTTCGTCACGCCTGAAACGTAATTTAAACATGAAAAAAGCTTTTGTGCATCGTATTGTTTAATGTGCTGAATATCGATATCGTGGACTGCTGTATCGATACATCGTCAAGTATTTTTAGGGATATTTTACTAAATTCGTTTGTGTAAGAGCGACAGTTGTGTTGACATTTTTGCAGTTTTGAGTAAAATGGTTGTTTTTCACGTTCACTTTGCAAAAGCTTTGCAGACTTTCAGTATCAGAGCCACGATTTAACCTTTTTTACACTGAACCGTATCGAATCGAAAGCTCACTGTATCGAAAAGCGTATCGAATCGAGGTCGTGATCCTGAGCCCTAGTGTGCGTTTTTTTTTTTTTACTTTTAAATCACCGTTCCTTTGCATTTGCGCCTCTGCTGTACGTGTGTTTTTCAGTTTCATTTGACAAAACCGTACACGACGACTTCGTAAAACCTGATGTGGGACGCGACGTGTGTTGTGATGCCGCTCTGAAGGGGGAGCGACTTAACTTGGGGGAGTAAAACGAGAAGAGACTCAAAACGAAAGTGGAAAAAACGGCAGCGTACGTTGCGGAGAAGTCCAATACCCCCTCTTTAATAATTTCTTGCCCTAAATTTGTAAACAGTTGTACCTCGTTCTGTAAAATTTAATTCTAGTCTTTGATTGAGGTGAGGTCGACTCTGCCTTACTGTTGTTTTTTAATATTCCGCTGGCTTAAATGTGAGGAAGATCTGTGACTTTTGTTTTGGTTTTAATTTCGTGTTCTATTCTGACACTGTTCTCATGTTTCTTTGGCCTGAGTAAGTCCAAGTGTGACGCGCTAGATGTTTTCCGTGGGTTCTGTTTAGTCAGAATTTGAAGTTTAAAACACTTTAGCGGGAGAGTTTTGAGATTTCTTGGTACGTATCCCAATTTTCGGGGTTTGAAGGTGGTTTAAATGTTACTGAAATCAGCTGTAATGTTTTTTTTTTCCTGCGGCGAAAGAGACTGAAACCGCGACGAAGGAGGTGGACGCCTCTTTAAAATCATGTCTTACAGTCACATTTTAGGTCTAAATCTCCGATATTAGAACTGGCTCTGCTTTGCTTTTCGTCGTTTCTTCCTCAAAAACATCCTCCGGGGTTGTGTTTTTGTTTCATCTGCACATGTTCCGGAAATGCTCCTCCATGTTTTTTAAGTCTAGTCACTTTCAGCTCAAATAATCATGTGCAAAAATATTGATTTATCGTATCGTTTAATGTGCCGATACAATATCGATATCCACAATTAAAAAGTGAAAAACACGCATTGTGCACTGAAATGCCCGATGTCCAAAAGTAAAAAAAAAAAATTTAAGTGCGTTTTGGCAAAAAAGCCTTCATCTGATAATTTTTCTTGCTCTGGACGACCGTACGTAACAAATCTGACGACTCCTGTAACGTAATTTAAACATAAAAAAAGCTTTTGTACATCAGCCGTCGGAATGCCGGAAAAAATGCATTGCGCACTCAAATGTCCGATGTCCAAAAGCTTTTTTTAAAAATTTAAAATTGCGTTTTGGCAAAAAAGCCTTCGTCGCCCAAAACGCAATTTAAAAATAAAAAAGTGTTTGTACATCGGTCGTCGGAGTGCGTTATGCATTAGCGCTGTGCAAAAATACAAGTTCAAGACATTTTTCGTGGTTTCTGTTTAGTCAGAATTTGAAGTTTAAAACAGTTAAGCGGGAGAATTTCTGAGATTTCTTGGTACGTATCCCAATTTTCAGGGTTTGAAGGTGGTTTAAATGTTTCTGAAATCAGCTGTAAAGTTTTTTTCTGCGGCGAAAGAGACTGAAACCACGACGAAGGAGGTGGACGCCTCTTTAAAATCATGTCTTACAGTCACAAAAAACAAAAAAAACATCCCCCGGGGTTTGTGTTTTTGTTTCATCCGCACATGTTCCGGAACTGCTCCTCTGTGTTTTTTAAGTCCGATCACTTTCAGCTCAGATAATCGTCACTAAGCTACAAAACTTCAGCACTAGCAGCTATTGTTTTTAGCCCATTTTACTACACTTCCGCTTGGTTTACGTTCATTTAAAGCCACAGTATGTCACTTTTCAGCCAAAATAAAACACACGAAATGCCAATGTTAAAAAAAAATTAAAAATCAGGAACATTAAGCATTTAAACACAAATTGTTGATTGTAACACATTTTATGAGGCTCATCTGTTTTGTGTCATTAATTAATCCGATTTCTACTTTAATTTGACAAAACAAAGCTCCTTTTGTTCTTTTGTTTGGTTCTTTTTTTTTAATGTTTAAATCTTCGCTCTGATGTTTGTCGGGAAACTACCCGCGTCTGCAGCTTGTGTGGTTCTTATTACACCTTTATAATCTCATTCAAACGTTGCTTTCCTCTTGTTATTACGGCTGTATTAGGAATTATTCTCAAGCAAAACGACAATGGAAACAAACACTGGCTCGTTGTTAGTATTGTTATTATTATTATTATTAAATATCATTTGTTATTTAACTGGGACAGACTTAAAGGTCGAGGAATGAAAATGTCTTGATGCAAAAAAGAAAAAAAAAAAAGACAAAATTAAAAATGTTGAATGGAAGTTGCTCTTGTTACAGATTTATCATTAAAGCAAAACTGTTTTTAACTCTGTGTGCTGTGGTTACTTTGCTCAATTACTTTCTGTGTGGAGTTTGCATGTTCTTGTTTTTCTCTACGTTAAATCTAATATTTAACGTAATATTTTAAAGGTTCTACATTACGCAAAATGACTCCTGTGAGCTTTAAGTCGTGTTAACAGAGCTGGAGTTGTGTTTTTTGTCATTCTAACACATCTGAGTAACTCTTTATTATTAGTCTTCTACATCTCCAAAACCCAAAACGCTCGTACCACTTATTTAAATTTTGATACAGCACATGTTACATTTAAGAATTCAGCCGTCGGAGTGCACTGTGCATTAGGGATGTGCAAAAATATTGAAAAAATATCGTTTAATGTGTAAAATGGAAAAAAAACGTAAAGCACACACCGATGGCCAATGTCCAAAAGCTTTTTAAAAAAAAATTATATTGATGTTTTGTCCAAAAAAAAAAAGCCTTCGACTGATAATTTCTTGCTTTAGAGCGTCGTATGTGGCAAGAAAAATGATCTGACAATGGCCAAAATGTAATTTAAAACTAAAAAAGCGTTTGTACATCGGCCGCCAGAGTGCGCTGTGCATTAGGGATGTGCAAAAATGTCATGAAGCGCTCGTTTTCAAGTGAACACCTCCTTTTTTCTTTAGTCCAGTGGAGATTGGTAAAGAAATTCCATGTCTGAACTGATCCAAATGATTCAAATGAAGGTGTATGGAGTTTGAAGACACAGTGGAGCGCTTCCTGTATCACCACGTGACATCACAAGGTGGAACAGACAAAATAAAATACCAACCGATATACATTTCTTCTTGTTTAACACTATGAGGGAGAAATTATAGACAGATAATTAACATAAGAGTTTAATGAGTTTGTGTGTGTGTAAAATCATTGTTTACAGTCATATTTATTCTTTACTTTATTTATCGACATTTTAAATCTTAATAAGGCGGTTTTATTATTTGAATGGTAAAAAATAAATGGTCACGTACTGATAAACAGCTGAAAACATTCAATTGAGTCAGTCAATTTTTTGCTATAAACGTGTACAATCATATGTGTTTTACCATCAGAAATGCAATTAAGTAATGAAATATATTGTTTCGTAATACGTTTTGACCTATAAATGATGTAAAACAGTGTCCTACTTTTGTAACTTGCCCTACGTTTATCCTGTCAAATGAACTACAAACCACAAATCTCACTCTCCCATGTCCACACGGTTTGTAGTTTTTTAAAGCGTCCATTGCATTACGCCTGCGCGGGGTTGAACTACAAATCCCAGCCGTTACCCGCCCGCCGCGCCCTTCAGCCCGTGCTCCCGCCCCTCGTCGTCCCCGTGTGTTGTTTGGCTAAAGATGGCGTTAAGTGCTAGCTTCAGTTTGTTTCACCAAAGAGTCCGGCCCGTGCCTCCACAACACTGACAAAACAGTAACTCAGAACGATATTCAGCAGGGAAATATGTTACACTGTCGATTTATATGTGCGAACGGTCATTAGGACGGAGAGAATTCGTGTTTTTCAGGATGTAGGCCCGATTCGGGAGCGGACGGAAGCAAACGGAACTCCATTTCCCGGGAGGCACTGCGGCATCAGCTGGTACGTGTGGAGTCCCATTTGTGTTCAACAATATTCTTTAAAAAAAAAAAAAAAAAAAACTATCAAAAAAGCCCTTAATGCACAGTATTTTCCAGTTTAATAACTCCAGACTCGTATCATAAGTATTTAAAAATTTGATCCAGCACATTTTACATTTAAGAATCACTTTTTTTCCCATTTTTTTTTTCAATGAATTATTATGGTTATGAAAGGATCCCATTTACTATTTATTGTCCAGTTAATCAGTTTTAAAACACAAATAATATTCACTAATACATGAGTTTATGTTTGAAATATTTAAATTTTAATTTAATACATTTATAAAATAATTTACATACATTTGTAAAGTAAATTTTGTCACAAGTTAATAGATACATTTATTTTTTTATTTAAACTTTTATAATTAGACACTTTATTGATCCACAGGAGGAATCACTTGTAACAAAATACCACATAAAATATAGTAAGTAAACAACAGAGAATCAAAACCCAGGAGAAATAAGGAACTGACCTTGTAAACAATTCATTAATGTTCCATAGGTGTGTGTGTGTTTGGTACGAGACAGGGATGTAACATGAATGTTTACAAGGCCAAGTCTTTATTGATTATTAATTATAATACTTGTTACTAAATCATTATATGCACAAAAACCCACAAATGTGAATCACTTTTTACAAACAGATTTTTCAGTTTTACAATTTTTTATTTTATTTTTTTACAAATGAAAAAGATATACAGTCCTGGTCAAAAGTTTTAGAACACTACACTTTTTCCAGTTTTTCACTGTTTAGCTCACTGTGTCGACCTTTGTCAGATGTAACAGCTGAACTCACTCGTGGCTCGTTCCTTTTACAACACAAATCAAATATTGTTCAGAAAGTTCTTCCCAAGTTTGTTGCAGAAGTTTCCATAAATGTGTGGCACTTGTCGGTCGCTTCACTCTTCAGTCCAGTTCATCCCAAACCAGCTCCAGGGGGTTTAAGTCTGGACACTGCTGCTGGTGCTGCTGGACACTCCAGGTTTTCAAGCTTCACCATCTTGTTCTTTTTTCTGAGGTGGTTTTGCCAGAACTTGGACTTGTGTTTTGTTCTTTTAGCAGTAGTAAACACACATCTCTTTGTAAAGACCAAAATACAAGTTACAAAGATTCAGTTTGTATTTGTAGGTCTCAAAACACATGAACAAACCAACGACTGCTTGTAGCTCAGCCTCTGTGCGTTTGTGAATTTAACGAGATAAAAGTGACCCCATAAGTGACTTCTGTTTTGA